TAAAAAACGATATTTTTAAAGCAACTCCAGACTACTTTTTTTTCATTATCACTAGGTTCCCCGAACTTTTTTTTAAAGCAACTCCGCCATGAGATCAATTTTTTTGGTTTCATGCCTGTCCCAAGCCAGGATAAAGGAGGAGGGTGCTGTGGTAGGCGCGTGACGGCCAACAGTATTACCTAGTCACATCACATGACATGAATCGAAATATGAATATCGTAGCCGACCCCAATTTCGTTTGGGACTAAGGCTTGGATGTTGTTGTATCACTAAGTTTCCCGAAATAAGTTAGTGTTTGATGAAAAGAGGAGGGTGGTTTAAAATCTACCAAAACAGGCTGTTGTGTTTGTCTTAAAAAGAATTAAGTTTTAAGATCTGAGTTTGTGTCATTGCCGTGTACTTAACATGGTATAGGAGTACTTATACTTCAAGCAATCTGACACTAACCTATGCAAAGCTGGTTCTTGTTTCTACTTTCTACCCATATCAACCTAAACAGTGATTTGTAATCTTTTTTACAGATTAAAGGAAGCTGGATTAAACCCGGAGCCGCTGTCATTGACGTAGGAACAAATGCAGTAGATGACCCAACTAAGAAGTCGGGTTATAGGCTTGTGGGTGATGTTGATTTTCAAGAAGCATCCAAAGTAGCTGGATGGATAACTCCTGTTCCTGGTGGCGTGGGCCCACTGACGGTGGCAATGCTACTGAAGAATACATTAGTTGGAGCCAAGCGAGTTATTGAGAAGTGATGATAGCTCGCGTTTTTCAAAACCGTTGGGATTTAAATAATAAATAAAAGAAGGGTATGTTCCTGGTGAAAGTTTTCCCAAACACTGAAGTCATGTCTAAACCCAAGGTTTCAAAATGCCAGAAAGGATCTCAGAACAAGTAAATACCTTTTAAGTTTTCTACTATATTCAAATTTTTTATGAGACAGAGACAAGCAGAACAGGTGGAAATGCCGCTCAATAAATTAAATCGTCTACTGTCTAGTACGAGTTATGAGAGCAAGAATGATTTCTTTGTAATTTGTAATTCACACTGGCTGGACAAAGTATTAATGCTGTAAGCTAACAGAATGTTGGGTGAGTACTGAGTAGTGTGTGTTTGGACTTGTCAGTGTTTTTCTTGTTCGTTCTTATGGTTAGTTAAATAACATGAACGACCTTGTTTTAGAGTTCGAGTGCTAAACAAACAGAACTTGGTCAGTAAGAAATCTATTTGATCAAAACCCGGTGAATAGTTTATTAGATGTCTGTTAAGGATGTTCAATAAGAAGTGGCTAAAGCTCATCATACAAGGGAGTTCTTGAACAAGCTCGGCAATTAGTCACGCATAATCTTGTTTATTTGTTGTGATTTCTAATTTGTAAAATATGATTTTATTATCTTAACAATGTGAAAAATAGTGTCTGTTTCTTCATTTGATGGTTGTATAAATGTATAGTGCGAGTTTTTTGTTCACATTATCTTAACAATGTGAAAATGGGTGTTTATTTCTAATTTAAAAACAATTTGAATTGAATAAAACCACAAATGTAAAAGAAAGATCGTCGGTGATGTTCTTAAAATTTGAGAAGTGGCGATATCTTCAAAGGAAGATTATGAGATACACCCTTATATAGTTATATGTGGATATTTTTGCAATTTTATTTTACAGTTGCTAATCTCATAATTAACGAATGTTCATTTCATCGTTATTATACGGAGTATATTTTTCCTTCATATTTTCATTGGAAAAAGGTGCAAATAGGCCCATGTACTAATAAAAAAGGTCAAATAAGCCCTTATTTAGGAGGTTCTGTCTGGTCATCGTCATTTGGGGTAGTTCCCGGTGGAATTTTTTGATGAAATTTTTTGAGCATCTTATTCATCAAGTCTAGTTTACTCATACCAAATTTCAGCTAAAACTTCAATCGGGAAGGCATTCAAATGAATTCTTGAAGATAACTGCGCTTCTAACTACGCAGTTATTTTCAAGAATTCATTTGAGTGTCTTCCCGATTGAAGTTGTAGCTGAAATTTGGTATGAGTAAACTAGACTTGATGAATAAGATGCTCAAAAAATTTCATCAAAAAATTCAACCGGGAACCACTCCAAATGGCGACGGCCGGACAGAACCTCCTAAATAAGGGCTTATTTTATTTTTTTTTGTTAGTACATGGGCCTATTTGCACCTTTTCCCTATTTTCATTCAATGCAATGCGCGTATGAAAAAGCTCATTCCATTTTTATAGAAAAACTCGTTCCGTAGGTTAAGGGTTGGTTTGCAACTCCTTTTAAAAAACAATTCTCAGCTTTTGGCTTTAAAAAAGCACTTATTTTCCCAAACACTACAACTTTTATTTTTCTCGGCTTCCGCGTCAAAAGTGCTTTTACTTTTTCAATTACACAAAAAGCACTTATTTTACCAAACACTACCCACTTTTACTTTTCAAAATCACTTTTTTCTCAAACACTATCAACTTTTATTTAATCACTTCTCCCCATTTCATTAAAAAAGCACTTTTTTAAAAGCAGAAGCTGTTGCAAACAGACCCTAAATGTAACATATTCATATTATTGTAGATGTACATTGTAAAGTACTCCGTATACATTTTGATTTTTGCATAAAATGCCATTTTCTAGTCCAAGCGTTATATGTGGAGTGCCTACAGAGTATAGAGTCACTTAGGTGTTCTGTTCGTCTTATTCTTATTACTTATTGCTTATTCTTATTCTATTCAGATCAGATCAGATCAGATCAGAAAAATTCAGATCAGATCAGATCAGATCAGAAAAATTCAGATCAGATCAGATCAGATCAGAAAGATTCAGATCAGATCAGATCAGATCAGAAAGATTCAGATCAGATCAGAAAGATTCAGATCAGATCAGACCAGATCAGAAACATTCAGATCAGATCAGAAACATTCAGATCAGATCAGAAACATTCAGATCAGATCAGAAAAGTTCAAACATGATTTATCACTTTTATTATTATATTAATTATTATTATTATTATTATTACAATTATGATTATTATTATATAATTATTATTAATAATATTAATAATAATATGATAACAAAAATAAGATATTAATAATAGTTATAATATTTTAATCTAATAATAGTAATATAAATGTAATTATTAAGAAGACTATTATTATTATTATTATCATCATCATCAACAACATCATCATCATCATCATCATCATCATCATCATTATCATTATTATTCTTATTATTATTATTATTACAATATAATTATAATAATATGATTAATGTTAATATAATATTATATTATAATTATATGTAATTATAATTATAATTACAATTATAATTCTTATAATTATAAGTATAATCAATTGTATTTATTATAATTATATCTATAAATATTTATAATATTAATTGTATTTATATTACTATTATTATATTATAATATTATAATTAATGTTAATATAATTATAATTATTATTAATTATAATTATAATAATTATAATTATACTTATAATTATAATTTATGATTATAATTATTATTATTATTATTACTATTGTAATTATTTTACGGAGTAATTATAATAATATTGATAACTATAGTTACAATTATAGAGATAAATATTGTAATTATAATTACAATTATAATAAAAATATAATTACAATTATAATTATATCTATATTTATAATTAGTGTAATAAGTATAAATTTTTTCATTTTAAATTTAATTTTAATTATTATTATTATTATTATTATTATTTTTATAGTTACGATTATAATTATAATTTTATTTAAATTATATTTGTAATTGCAATTATAATAATTATAATTATAATTATAATTATAGAAACATTCAAATCAGATCAGATCAGAAAGATTCAGATCAGATCAGAAGGATTCAGATCAGATCAGAAACATTCAGATCAGATCAGACCAGATCAGAAACATTCAGATCAGATCAGAAAGATTCAGATCAGATCAGATCAGATCAGAAAGATTCAGATCAGATCAGATCAGAAAGATTCAGATCAGATCAGATCAGATCAGAAAAATTCAGATCAGATCAGATCAGAACTTAAAAAATTCAGATCAGAAACATTCAGATCAGGCGAAGAGAACAACTTCTTAATAGTTAATAAACAGGGTTCAAATATGCTTTTTGGTATTCACTTTTTGTTTAGATTCTCGCATTTTTTGTTGTAAAAGAAATATCATGTCTTGATTCATTTTCTAATTTGGGGTAATCTCCACTTAGAGAAATGATAATGTCAATTATAGAATTGTATTCTGAATATTTTTTAAATGACATGAAAAACGACAAAAAAAATTATAAAATATTAAGAGATCGTTTATTAGTTTATCAATTAATTTTTTATCAAACACATAATTTTTATTTTAACACGCCGGATTTTAAATAAGATTGAATTTACTTTTCTGAGACGGATATACTGGATCATTTTAGGTATTCTTAATATTATTTTTTCTTTATTTTACCAATAAAATATATAGAGTAAAATATTTTGAATATCATTTCTTCATAATTTAACAGATTCAAAAATTACAACCAAAATTTACTATGTTCAGATTTAATCGATTCAAATTAATTTTAGTGTTATTATGTCCGGATCAAAAAATATTGTCGTGTTAAAATCAATGAGAATTGCTTTTACAACCCTGCTATAGGTACTCCAATTGGTACCCCAATTTGTATCCCAACCTATTTTTGTGGCTCACAAAAGTCCACATCAATAAATGAATTGTCCCACTTATATGAGGTGCTTTTGTAAGTCACAAAAATAGAGTGGGAGTACAAATTGGGGTACCATATTTTAGCATTTTTCTTGCTTTTAATCAAGTTGTTGGGATTTTTTTTTTTTGTAAAATCAAGTTGTTGGGATTAGTGATGCAATCATGCATATACATACGAAAAGAAAATATCTTGTAGAGGGGGGTAAAAAGTGACCGGCCTAAAATAAAATATTAAAATATCTAGAGCATAAAATGATAAAATAATACTCGTACAGTCGTACGTCTACATCGTCTGTGGAGTATAAATTATATAATCAAATATTCTGGGGTCTTTGGGGAAGAGATATATAATATAGGGGTCGGAGAAATAATAGACCGAGTAACAAAACAACCCAACGCCTCCATCGGTCGTCTTTCACCCGAAAGTATTCAACAATAATCAACATCTATCGCTCCAGCATCAGGTATTATCTTTAAGCAATTCCATTTCATTTCATGCTCTTTTTGTTATAATTGTAGATCTATCTCAAAATTTAGGTTTTACTGGTCTCGATAAGTGTTTCTCGTATTTTCTTAATGATTTTTGTTAAAGCTCCTAGCAAACGCCCTTTACGCTGAGTTTATGTTCTTGATGTTTATTCATATTTTTAGCTTTCTAATCGTGGCTGGATCGAGAAGATCTACCAGGCTCTGTAAACCAAAAATGAATTTTCAATTTATTAAATCAGTCTTCTGCGGTCCTTTCAAAACTGGAGTGGTCTCTTTACTAAAAGAAATGAATGTGTTTTCCCACACTCCATCCTGTGTATCTTAAGTTAAATCCATCTGATCCATCCTGTAGAAAATAACAATAATGGATTGGATCGTAGTGACTAGTGATTCAACCATATTATTTTTAGTCCATTTGAGAGCATTGGAAAAAGTATGCTAAATCCAAAGGAACAAATGATCTTTCACATTTTTTGTTGCTTGTATGTGTTCGCACAATGATGCTGAATAATTGAGGTCTGTTCCCTAAACCGATTTAACTGGACTGAGATGTGTGAATGAAACACTAGACTTTAAGAGTGAAAACCAGAAAGGTAATAACCCCAAATATTTTTAGTTTCTCTCCAACGGGAGGAGGGATGATTTTTATTTATGAGTAAGTCTATGAGAACATAAAAAATTTAAGTTATTGAGAAACACCATTTTGTTGCACACAATCATTTGATGCTGGCAAATTAGACATATGACCATCACCCAATGAATGTGTGTCAAATAGGAATGTCTCACATATCATGTACATTATTATTAATGTTATTCCAGACTTAATTTTTATTAATAGATAAGGAGAGTTATGATTGCCCTAAGACGGCATGTAACAAGACTTATAAAGTAAAGAAAAACACATGTATACGCACAAATGTGTTTGGTTTCTAACATTCATGACAAAGAATAAAATTCTTCACCTATCCTAATTCTTCCATGTATGTTCTGATACATGGTTTTGATACATCTTATTGCAAGATATGACTGAAATTTTGAGAGGTGTCCCTCATTAATTTTGTACTGCGGGCTTCTGAAGTCTTTGATTAGGTTCACCATGATCCTTTCATATTTTGGTATCAACTTTTTAATGAATTATTTATCGCTGATTTATCTTTTAAATATCATTTGAATGATTGGATTTAGATATTTCATATAGAAACATGTTTAAGAAATGAACCCATCATTCTAATATGAGGGTAGTAAAATAGGTTCTGATCTCAATAGTTGTTTATCCCACTATTTTGTCTTTGATTCACTATCATGCATTGTGATTAACAAAATGCTTCCAAATGACCCAAAAACTCATCATCCTTGAGCATTGAGTCCATGTACATATTGAAACAAGATAAAAACATTGAAATATAACTAAATTTACATTGAACTTATTAATATGTTCACTATGAACATGTTTTTTCTTTGTTTGGAGTGTTAATCAAGTAATGGACACATTTCCCCAAAAGTATTCCTTAAAAAACACTAAATACATGAGAAAAGTCATTTCGTACATAAAAATTAAAAGATTGAGTAAAATATTTGACAACTGATAAAAAAGGCTTGACATAAATTTCAAATCCACACAACTAAGTATCATAATTCATTCAGACCTCGCAATTCTTCCTCACCCTCTTCTTTAGTGGAAGACGCACATTCTTGCGCTGTAACAATTCCATGTTTGATGACATAGCAATTGAAAGAGTCGAGAACACCGAGTCTTTCTCGTTAAAAGGACACAAAAAAATCCATGATTATTGATACATCCTTTTGCTAGGTGTAATTGTCTTTTTGAGTGACAAGTCACTATCCACATGAGTAAAACGCCATATCATTGATCATAATTGAGCTTTCTTAATCCAAATGACTATCCACAATATGAACCTCATATTGTGTTATGTGTTGGCTTTCATTATAACTCGATGGTGTTGAGCTAAGGGGTACCCCGTCATCCTAGCGTTCAATCATTACTATAGGGCATTGACACCCTAATGTGTGTCATAAACAATTGTAGACACTTGGGCTCTTTAATCACCTCTTCCATGTTAAGATATTTGTTCATCTTAGTGAAGATTGGGATCAAATTTATCCATGACTTCTCGGATAGGAAGAAGGGGTGGAAATCCTAGTTCGTGTTCTTGGAGCCATTGAAACCATTCTCCTTTTTAAAGAATATTTGGAGTAGGAAGGTCTAAAGGTCCGTAAGCCTGAAAACTTAGTTGATGTTGAACTCAAGCACTGAACCCTAACATGGTCAAAACGAGTATCTTTGTCGATGCTGAAATGATTTCCCTTGTGGACTATTATGGAGCGTTTGGACGTGTTGAGGACTCAGATGGGTTCCCTAATTGTCCGTTCGGTTGCTGACTTGATCCTCTTACACCCATTGTCATAATTGGTTTCTTAATGTCAAGGAAAACATGTTTAACATAATTGTTCTTTATAGGGGATATGAACTTTCAATCTACATTCGCTCCACCTACCCGGATCCCAGGTGTTAAGAAGCCAATCGGACTTGTGAGGAAAAGGGTCAAGGGTGACACACTTTTTACGTTGACCGAGAAGAGTAACAATCAAGAGGCTTCGAGGGGAACCGTGAACATTTCTAATGCGAATAGGAGCGAAACCGTTGGCATCATTGACTCGTTATCTCAGGTGGAAAAGGGAGATGGAAAAAGATCAACAGTTGTCACTCAACCAATAGAATGTACACCTCCAAAGAAAGTTCAGAGGGCGTCCGAATTTGCCAATATATCAATCGATAGGGTTCTTGAGGACATGCTCGCGCCCTTGAAGGAGGTATGTGACGGTAACCTCTTATTTTTGCCTTCCTAAATTCATCCTTCATACAATGAGTTGTTCTCTATGCAGGTTGGAGCCCAAGTGCGGGAGCTGAGGACACGGGAAAATCAGACCGAGCACTTGAAGAGGGACATTGCTACCGCAAATGAGGCTAACAAGAAGCTTGAGGACACTATCAAGAAGTTGGAGGTTGAACTTAGGGCCACGAAGGAAGCTCTATTGGTCACTAAAAAGGCACTTGCTAAGAAAGAGGAGGCTTTCCCAAAAGATTGTGCAAAATGGATCAAGGGAAATCCAGAGGAGACGGTTAGGCTTTTGACATCGACCAAAAAAGAGGGACAAATCACTTTTTATTACCTTAATCGCACGCCGCTCGGTCGGGCTAACATGGAAGCAGTTGGTACATATGGTTACATGTGTGGGCAAAAAGCTGAGAGAGCGGGCATATATGAGTTGCTTCGGGAAGACGATCCCGAGTTTGATCCCATTGATTGCGGACTACCGCCACAGTTCGAGGAGGAGCCTATCGAGCCATTTCAAGAGCTTCCGAGAGTATAGGCTTGATAGTATTAAATTGTAATAGATGTAGGCTGGGCATGAAGCCCTTTTGCTTTGTAAAAATTTCCTTTGGACGCTTTGAATGCATATCAGTCTTTTCTTTGCTTGTTTAGCACATTTTCGTAAAATGTTTGCTAAAGCTATATGATTTGTCTAGTTGTTCAATTGTTAGTGGCTAAGCTATCTTATTCTACTATATCGTGAAAAAACACGGTGCATTGTTGCTAAGGTTCATAGTTGTCAATGGTGAGATATGGCGCGCGCCATATGCGCCATCGCGTATGTGTCATTGCCATGCGTCATGAAAAATGTCTTTGCGCCATGGCGATCGTCATGTGTCATGGCGATCGCCATACGCCATGACAATCTTGCTAAGGTCAACAAGTAGAGTAGAATCGCTTTGAAAGTCGGGAGGATGGGGTGCAAGATGGCTCTCAATACTAGATTTACTCGATAGCACTCGAAAAATATTGGGGTATTGAGTGACTTGTGCCTTAAAGGTTCTTAAAAAAAATGTATGAATGAAATTGTGTGGAGTGGTGTAAGTTAATAGTTAAGGCAATGTTATGGTATTTAGTGCCTAATGAAGTGAAAATTGGAAGCAAATGGAAGTTAGAAGATCTATCTGGGTATAGAAGGTCATGAAAACAGTGTAGGCTAGGATAACCAAGAGATTATCCATGATAAATGTTGGTGATTAACCAATTGATCATACATGATAAATATGGATGGTTATATCACAAGCCCAAGATGATCATATGAGCGTTGGAGTGGATGAAAAGAATAATCAGAGGCTCAAACAACTTACATGGCGTCTAGGTCATATATGGGCGATCATTAGGAAGGAGATATGAATGGGATATTGTGTATCAAGTGGGTTGTGTGTTTACGCCTTTGTGAAACTTTGCAATTTGTTAATTGGATCACAAATATTTGAGACGGGTGTTCTAGTATAAGAACAAAAGCCAAGCTAGTAAGTCAAATGGTTTCAAGAAGACAAGTAAATCAAAGCAGGTTGGTTCCGGGTGGATTAGGATGAAAATAATGTCTCATGTAGCCATCTGAGTGATCCTCGTAGATGTAGGTGCTAAGATATGAAGTCAGCCAATCATAGTTTTCCCGTGCACATGAATCTTAGCTTATGAACCCAACCTACGTTGGAGTTTTCCCATGAACACGGTGGGTGCCTTGCTCGGTAGGATGGCATGGCTCGTGGCTAAATATGAAACATTTGAAATCCTGAAATCAGGTCTGATCCATGAGAGTGTGTTAGCAGTATTGAACAAGGTCAATGGTCCATGTAGCATAACCAATCATGCATTTGGTTTTGCCACCCAAAAGCCTACCCTTAATGTGGTCGTATGTGATCTTGTATAGTTTATTCCTTCCAACATTGACACACTATAATATATCGTGGGTATAGGTACTCTTTGGTACGCTCGTGAAGGTATGTTGCAAGAGACTCAATCATAATTGTGTGAAGGTGTCATTGACGCTCATCCTTGGCAACTCTTCCACGCGTCACTCCATGCCAGGAGTGCAAGCTTGCCCACCTTGGTGGTAATTTCATGGAGTCTCACTCTCAAAGGAAATATAATCACTCTAGTTAACTTGACTAGTTAAATCGGTCCAGGATCCAATGCAACACCAACATAAAAGACAATTATATATACTTGAAACCCCAAAAAGGAGAAAATCACCTATGTTTTTTAACGCTACCTTACCCATGGGGAAAGGAAATGGGGGGTGAATTTCTTTATAAAAGTTTTATGCCACATAGGTGCATGACAAGGACGAGTTATTACAAGTGTGCAAAGTTAATCGGCAAGAACTATCTAGATAGTCAAGAGACAGTCAGCATCTTTTGAGCTTTTCTCCTCAAAGTGTTGAGAATGGAGTCCGTGTCCCTTGGAAGGGGGTGTATATAGGGCTGCATAGCGACACTTTGTCGGTTCGCGTTGGTGGTCAGGGACATAAGCGGTCACATACATGAGCTACATAAGAGTAGGCATTTCCAATTGGGTTTGATGGCTTTTTCGGGTTTTAGTTCAGTTTAAAATGGCTTGGTGGCATTATTGCTGACTACAAACCAAACTATATTTCATCTTATTCATTTCAGTTTTGTTTGGTTTGGATTTTTAGGACATTAAGGATTTTTTTTTCCGATTTTGATTATTCGGGTTCGGTTTGATTCTCATGCCACAATTTTCGGAAACATTACCAAACATCCTGTCATCACATGTAACTCTATTTTGTTTCGGATTAGTTTGGTTAGACCGAACCAAAATGACCACTCTAGAGCTAATGCTACACTCAGATTCTATGCTGCCATTGGCATTGCGGTCAACTGACTATGCTGGATTGGGTTTTGGGTACTTGTGTCTTCCAATCGTGCAAACTTTGGGTTTGAATCTGCTTACCGTCGTTTAGGAACAATAGCCGGTAATCCGGTATCTTATTTCACTCGCGTACTTCATAATTACCTATACAGGAAAAGTAATCAGAGAATGAACAAATTAGATGTACCTCCGTTTACGGTCAAACATGTGTTGTTTTTAAGTATAATGTATGTTTGAAGTGTTCAATTAAACAGATCTTAGGTTCCAATAAAAATATTTTACTTGGAGGGAAGTTTGTAGTGTTCTAAGTATATTTTCCTTGGATTGAGATTTTATGGTCTGATCTGTTTATATATAGTTTGAATTGTTTTGGTTTGATGAAGATCTACAGAGTATTTTATACCACCTCCGTTCTTTTTAAATTGCACCAGTTTGACATTTCATATTAGTAACCATTACAAAAATTTAATATTTTGGAAGTTCACATTAAGAAGTATTTAATAATATTTTATACATAATAATTTCATTATATATATTTATAGAAAATCATTGTCAAAGTAAGGTGTGAATAGTGTAAACTTCAGAGAGTTGCAACTATTAAAGAACGGAGGAAGTATTTATTTTAATATTTCTAAACTTAATTTAGTGTGATCTGGTATAATTTGGGTTTGATCAGTTTAATTTGGGATGTTTTTGATTGGACTGGAGTTGTCTAATCTGATATGTTTAAGTCTGGTCTGGTCTAGTTTGAATTGGTCTGGTTTGGTAAATGTCTGATCTCTTTGTACTTTAACTTGCAAAACCTGATCTGGTTTGGTTAGTTTAAGTCTGGTCTAATTTGGTCTGGTTTGTTCTGGTCTGAGACTGGAATAAGTCCAACTAAAGAAATACCTGATCTGATACTAGAATGAAACCAATTTAGCTATAGCACTCCTAAAATATTTTGTTGGTAGGGAAGGCAACAAAATACTTTACATTAACCTAAAAATGTGCATATTATGAAATTCCCAAAGCATGAGTAAAAATGTTATGAAATTCTAAAATAGTACTACCTCTGTCCCATTTTATTTGTCTCACTTTGACTTGACACGATTATTAATGAAGTGGTTGACAAAATTAAAAGTTGTGGTTGAGGTTTGAGTATAATAAAGTGAAATGGTGTAAACCACATATTTCTTTCCAAAAGAGAAAAGTAGACACTTATTTTGGGATAACCCAAAAAGGAAAGTAGGACAGGTAAAATGGAACGGAGGGAGTATTACGTTTTTATTCCCTAAATAAGATGAATTAGGGTCAAACTTGAAAAGTATTGTCATAATTAAAGTTTGATAATTTAAAAGGGTGGCAATAATTACTCATATTTGGGTAATAAGAACATAATAGACATATTTTTCATACCTAATACTTGTATAATGCAATTATAAGCCGAAAATTTGCCCTAAGGGTTGATTATTGGGCATCAAGAATCAAGACTAGGGTTGGGTTGGGTTTAATTCTATAAGGACCCAACTTATGTTGGCTTAAATATTTTCGATCACCCAGTTTGTCTCAAATTTCTACGCAGATTCTGTATATCATGAGTCGTCCGCAGGGACCTCACAGACCCTTTTTCCCGTTCGGAAATCCGTTCCGGAGGATACTACCCAATGGCTCAAACATGTCTCAAAGGCTTCATTCTTTGTTGAAATCCTTCGAGGAGTCACTGGCTTTGAAGCTTAAAAACCTCATTCCTGAAAGCATAGATGGCTTCATCAGCTTATCCTGGTTCCAGAAAGCTATTGTCACACTTTCCGAAATCCACGGAGACACGAAAGAACTCATAACCGCGCTCGAATTTCCTGTTTCAGATTGGGACGAGAAGTGGATCGACGTCTACCTGGATAACAGCGTGAAATTACTTGACATTTGCACCGCTTTCAGCTCGGAGATCACAAGGATCAACCAATCCAACCTGTTTCTCACGTGCGCCGTTCATTACCTTGACGGCGGTGAAGAAGAGAAGCTTCCCCAGGCGTGTTTGTCGTTGCAAGAGTGGGGTCCGCGCATTAGCGGTCAAAACCCTAGATTGGGTCGTTGCTTTGACATATTGAACCGCCTGACGGAAAGTCTGAACTTGCCCAAGATTAAAAGGTCCGAGAAAGGAAAAGTTTTGATGCGAGCTATGTACGGTGTACGGACTGCTACCATTTTCGTCTGCAGTGTATTTGCTGTTTCCTTCTCCGGGTGTGTGGAGAAGCTGAAGGAGTTGGAGATCAGTGAGAGTTGTTACTTGTGGGCGGATAATTATACCCATCTCCAAGATCTCATTAACAAGGAAATTAGGAAGGTATATTCCAGTGGCAACCAGGGGACGGCTTTGAGGGAACTTGAGGATGTTCGTGTTAGTGTCGAGAAGTTATGTCCCCTAATTCGCGATGGTGGCGGCGGCAGCAGCATGTTTCGGGAGGAAACATTGGGTTTGGCCGTGGCGGTGGGCAGGCTGTCCGAAGGACTTGATGGTTTGGCAAAGGAAGTAGATGGGTTCTTTCAGATTGTTCTAACGGGACGTGATGCTTTGCTTTGTAATCTTAGAGTTGGGGATGAGAATGGAAGCCCGACGCAAGGGAATACCATCAATGTAGAGCGGTCAACGTCGAGGTGACCTCTTATCCTTGGTGCATTTATTTAAGAACGGATGTAGTATGTGTTACGGTTCTCCGTTACTGTGTTGGTATGTGTCAGTGATGTAAAAGTTGTCATTTGTAGTTTGATAGTAGTTAGTGTCCCAATGTTTGAACTTTGATGTATGAGGTTATCTAAAGTGACGCTTTGTTGAAGCTTGTTATTACTGTTTGTATATATTATTATTTTTTACTTGATTAAATGTTTTTGCATCATTTTGGAAGACTAGAGGTGGAACTGGTTCATGCAAAACAGGCCTGGAATCAAATAGGTAAAATGCAAGACAACTGGCTTGTTTTTCAGTTGTGGACCAGAACCTGTGCAAATAGATTCTAGTTTTTGATTTATCACAAGAAAATTTCAGGCTAAACCAGAAGTTACTTGGAAGTTGGAATCAGAACCAACCAAAAAAAATTCTGATTAGTCTGGGACTCTGGGTTCCACTCCTATGAGACCTTTGGAGTTTGGAAGTAGCGATTAGTCGAATTGATCCGAGGTTTTCATACAAATACATTAAATTAAAGCTCATTTTACTTCTTGAATTACTCATTTCAAATCCCGCAAAAACTGCCAAAAACAAGCGAGGCCCAAGTCCCTAAATCATCTTTACGCCATCATATTCTCTTGCTCAAAATGACAGCTGAGTCATAATGACTAAAATATTTTGTAGTTTAGTTGAAGTGGTAAAGTGTACCCTTCCTGAATATTAGGGATAGACCCATCCGGGTTGAGACCGGGTCCGGGTCGGGCTACGGGCGGGTCCGGGTTTGTGAAAGTGAGGCCCGGAACCGGCCCGGCTATGTTCCGGGACCGGGCCGGGCCCGAGTAATGTTTTTTTCTTATTTATTCTTGCCCAATACCCCCCACCCCCAAACCACCCAGTCACCCAACTCAACCCACCTCGTACCCAAACCATTCGGAAAAATCCAAATAAATAAATAAATAGGACCCAGACCGGCTGGTACCAAGTGGGCTGCAGCCCGAGCCTCCCCCCCCCCCCCCCCCGTCCGGGTCATAGTCCCAGTCCCGCACAGTGACGGTCCGGTCCGAGTACCGGGCCAGTCAGACCAGTCCCGGGCCACCCCTATTGAATATAAAGGAATTGTTCGCAAGTAAAATTTTAGGTCTTTCCGGTTTTGGACCAGTCATAAAAGTTCTTTACAAAAATCAGAGGAAGTACCTATAAGGCTATAACATGTTTGAATTCTTTAAAAAATCATATTCCAATGTTCTACTCATTTAGATAAATGAAAACAAACTGGAGTCCGAGCGAGCCATCCTTGACCACCACAGCCAAACTTCTGTCCCAACGCTTCAACAGTTTAACTTGAGTTACATGATTTGGAATCTGCAATCAGTAGTTGTATACCCAGGCCAATGGATAGGTAAAAATATGAATAGAATAATCATCAACAACCTTGAAAGCTATGTCAAAAAACTCACAAACATCTTATGGAAAACTGCCTAAGCGGGCTACTGGAAGATCCCATTCTACATAGCATATGGAATAATGGAATTGAAGCTTGGCTCCCAGCTTCCCACTAGGAAGGAGTATTTGCAACTGCTTAAAAAAAACGTTTCTCGACTTTTGGCTTAGAAAAGTTAAAAATAGTGTTTTCAAGTGACAACTTCTACTTTAAAAAACGTTTCTCGTCTTTTGTGCAAAAAGTGCTTTTTACTTTTTCTATTACACAAACAGTACTTATTCACAAAATACTACCAATTTTTACTTTTCAAAATTACTTTTTTCATACACACTATCAACTTTTACTACTACTCACTTTTTTTTCAAAATCACTTCCAAAAGTACTTTTTTGTAAGCAGAAGTAGTGGGCCAGCTTTCATGTCTTAAAATTCAATAACCGCACTTTTTTTAGGTTTTAAATCAGAACTCTAAATGAATCTGACCCATGCCAATAATACTCCCAAACTAAATCTATCCCATTTGAAATTGGATGCAACTGCAGCAAAATCTGCTTTGATACCGACAGCAATGTCATAATTCACTGTTTAAATGTGAAATTTCATTGACGTTGTACAACAAACAAGACTCTGAGGCATGTTACAACAGCGCACTCATTTCCTTGCCTTTGCCTTCTGCTTTGATTTTGAGTCGAAGTGGTGAGATCTGAGCTTCTTCTTTCGCACAACGGGGGCTTGGCCACCAACTTCTTCCCTGAAGGGCATGCCCATAAGAGCCAGCAGCCGTTGAGCTTCTTTGTCAGTTTTGGCAGTGGTAGTAATGCAAACATCCATCCCTCTCTGTTTCCCAAGTACATCAGATGTTATGTCCGGGAAGACGCTCTGGTCATGAAACCCGATGCTGTAATTCCCTCTACCATCGAAGCTGCTTGGGTTAACACCTTGGAAATCCCTTGTCCGTGGAAGCCCCAAGTTGATGAGTCGGTCTAGAAATGAATACATTATCTGCACAAACAAAATAATAAAATATAGATGTGATGGACTCAGCAAATCAGTAAGTTGGCTGAGATGAAAGGCTTGCCCACTCAATGATGTGTCATCAGCATCACTTTTTGAGCTTACACTGAAGGAAATGAAACTTCATTAAGTTGAGTCAAAAACTCAGTGTATTTATCTTGGGTTGCAGGCAAAGCAAGTGGAATTAGGACTCTATGATCACATTTACAGTTTTAGTTTTTTACACGGATAATAGGTTCCTTTGTCCACCATCCATCTCGTCTATTGAAATTAAATCCGTCCATTACCCAATGATGACAACAATAAGAGCCCGTTTGTAAGGCTTAAAATAGGTGAATTGATTAAATCAATTGAAATTGTTGTAGTTGGAATAACTAAATTTGCTAAACTAGATCAAATATGGAATAACTATATTTAAAATATACTCCCTCCGTCCCATAGAGAGGTTCCCACGCGGTTTACGATGTCTGATTGGCCATAAAGTTAATTGCTCCCTGTCCGTAATTTGATTTTTTTAGTAAATAAAATTTATATATTTAGAAACTTCGCTAAAATTCTTATAAAGTCTCAAAAAAATTTGATAAAAGTTGGGTATGTAAAGTAAACGAATAACAAGACTTTACGTTGACTGAAGAATAGTGGACATGAACCTTTGTATAGGATGGAGGTAGTGTCTTATTTATTTATAAAATAGAGTGAGAAATGCATGAAAAACAGCTAAATTGTTCATCTTCAACAACTTAAACCATTTCAGGAAAAAGGTACATTCACACTTACTTTTTCTCATTATTACTCAATTTAGCATGGATCGACAAAAAAGTAAGGAAAGATAAAAAAGATGAGTAAAAAGTAAGGAACCATTGAGTTTACACAACAACAATAACAACATCCAAGCATTAATTCCAAAAGAGCTTGGGATCGGCTAACATGAATCGACACATGAAATCGGAGCAAAAAAGATGAGATAGATAAAAACATAAGAAAGATAAGGAAAGATAACAAGATAAGATAATGATAAAAAAAATTATTGAGTTTACACAATTCATTAAAATATTTTTTCATTCATTTCTCAATATGAATGATGAAGTGTACGTTTAAAAAGATATATTCAAGGGATTCTACTAACTAAAACCATGTGTATGTCCGAGATAAAGTTGATGCGAGCAAGAGTTCCTCATCAAAAGTAACATTCAAGTCATGGACACCTTCCTTTAACATGTCAATCTTAGCAACCAATGCCTTGTATAAATACTCCAAACAAGTAAAACGAACTCATTATTTCCATGTACAAAAAATGAATCTATCAAATGAAATAAAAAATTGAAACTATCAAATGAACAAAATGACTAAAAGGTCTTAAACAATCTCAAACACACCAAATTAAGAGGCTAAAATGGTGTTATTGGCAACCTTTCAGTTCTTGCAACACATCAATGTCCTTATTAGGATGAAGCTTTACCTGACAATCAAAAATAGGTCGAGAGGAAGCACTTAACGCCATTTATTACTTCATGACACTTTATATGATAGGACTTTCACCAACTACTAAATTAGTAATACACAGCACCCTTTAGAAAACAATCGCAGAAAACAATAAGAATTGCACCAAGTTACTACAAAATTAAATACAAAGATAAAAGGAAAGAAACAACAAGTATTTGAAATACTAACAGATACTCAGTGGTTTATCACTCAAATGGATAAGAAATTATATACAAATACATACTAGTGTTATAATAAGATGACACACTCATACTAACTATGGTTTCACACCAAATGCCTTGATTAAATTCCAACACTCATTTTCAGGATAGCCAACCATCGAGCCTAAGAGAGGTCAATATGGAGTAATTTTGGGACAGAGAAAGGGGCACAAATGACACTTGTTTCTGGACAGCGGGAGTTTAATGTAATAGAATTCAGTCGTCTTTGGAAAACAGTGTCATAAATTAGTACGTAGTATTATGTAATTTTCAAATGATGGACTTCCGCCTTTTAAAATGATTTGCAAAGTCTACTTTTCTTCATCAGCCTAGTGTGCTTTTATCAAATTCTAATTTGAATTTTGCAACTTCATAGAACTTTCATTACAGTTTCTGAATATGTATACTTTAATTATTGAAACTAATTTCACTATATGTACTTTGACTATAGTTAGTCAACCTTAAAACAGCGAATTGCAAAACTTTATTGTGAGTTAAACTTAGAACCGCATTGCAAAACTTTATCCTTAGTCAACCTTAGAACTGCAAATTGAAAATCATTTTGGGACGGATGAAGTATAAATACTGAGAGAAACCCAGCATTAAAATGCAAAAGAAATGGGTATACCTTTCCTCTGAGAGTGACAGCAATTCCAAGAGGCTGGCCTTCTCGAATTTTGAAAGTTGCAATAGCCTTCTTTGCCCTCGTCTTAACAGGCTTTTGCCCTGTAATTAAAGCCAGTTCATTCATGGCAGCATCCAGACCCTTGGAATTTTGAGCAGCATCCCCAATTCCACAGTTTACCACTATCTTCTCAATCTTTGGAACCTACTCGAACCAAACATAAATACCATTAACAAACAAAACAAATTCAAACTAAGGCTTCAAAACAAAAATAAAAAATAAAAATTAACCTCGTGAATGTTCTCATATTCGAACTCTTCTTTGAGCGAAGGAACGATTCTTTCCAGGTATGCAGACTTGAGCCGGTGAATTTTTTCGGATTCGCTTTTATCCACTCGAACTATCCCTGACGTAGCCTTCACCGATAAGCCGCGATGCCAAACTTTCGAGTTGCCGGCCTGTA